CAGGTTTGATACCTCCGTATGTGGACAGTGGAGAACAATCGAGGCCAACTTTTCTGAATGGACTGTTCGAGTCAAAGAGAGCCAAGTATCGACGGTATACCCCTTCATCCAATACACGGTCCTTAGGACTACTCTGGGAATATTTCCCAAACATCAATGATTGAAAGTCATCATTTTGCGTGTCTGAGCCACCCGTCGGTAGCGCTTTGCAAGCAGAAAGTAAAACAGTTCAAACAACAGACTCATAGGTTCGGACATAAATCTTCAGAATAAATTCATCTTTGTACCGCAGTACACACTTGTATTGTAGGAGCGGTCGGTGATAATTATCAAAGGAAGTCATTACCTCATCGTTAGCCCGCGAGAATGTTTGAGCCGGAGTACATTAACTCGAATTTTATCTATTTTATTGTAAGTAACTCGTCATAGTTTAATGACGTTGAAGTTAACGGCGATGGATAAGCAATGATAAATGGATAGCGATGGTCCACTCCAGTTTACGCTGCATTTCACGTATTTCCTACGTCCGATGACCGTTTGCCTCGTAGAGCTCTCTTATCCCAGCCTTGCATCGGATGGGGACCAAGGGAGGGGGCAAACCAATGGTTAGTGACCCTGACAGATATGGCTGCGTCACTCGGCCGATGGAGGCCTTGCATCAAACCTATCGAATTCACTGCGTGGCTGTCACTTTCTTCCATACCGGACAAGCAGAACTATTTGTCATCAATAAACAGATTAATCCATTCCCTCCCCTTACTCTCCTTGACCTCGTTGAACGAAGCTGAAGCTGCTGAAATTACTGCACTTTGGTGCGCGGTACGAGGGCTGAAAAATGAGTATTGAAGAACCACTATGGAGTGCAGTGGTCTGCAGCGATGATAACTGTATCATCTGCCAAGTAAATTCCACGATCCGCGTGTTTTCCTCTACCCCCATTCCCGGTGTTCGTCATACAGTTTTGCGAAGTATTCAATTGACCACGAGTTGAACCGTATGGGGAAGAACGGGGAGCCCTGTTGAGCCACAAACAACGAGTCTTGACCATTCTTCTCCATATATACTGTTGTAACCAACTGCAGTGTCCACGCCAATACTTTATTGTCCGAAAAAAGATCCAACAAGGAACACAACAGCTTTATTGCGAACAAGCGAATGCGAAAACTTCAAGGAGCGTTGCGGTATTTAAAGCCCAATTCGGACCTTGACCCAGACTGCCGTACCGGCTTTGAGTGGTTGGTTGGTGTTGCTTTTAGGACATCTTCGAACATTTATCATCGTTGATCGTTTCTGAGTTGATTGACTGCTTGAGCATCTTATCGGCAGTTAGCTTTTCTGGCCCGGAGGACTGACGGATTCCCTAAAGCGATTTTGGAGTTTGAAGTTCTCAGATGGACGATGGCGAGATGAACCAAGTGGTTAGAGTGCGAATTTACTGCCTGGAAGGTCCGTTTGTCGAACCCGACCTTAGCCTCTCGACTTCCCCTGTCTAGGCTTGGGCGACTTGGCAGTATCCCAGCCCTCGTGCCTGGTTCGGGTGGCATGGCAGCTGTGCACCAAAAGGGTGCTACAGGTGAACGATTATTATTATTTTTTAGTTCTCAGTAAGCTTCGGGTATTCTGGGATTACTTACAGGAATCTGACCTTCCTAACATATACAAACATGTTCTCCCATGGCCGCATGGTACTTAACAGCCTGTCTAACTTAGTGGGAATGTCGTCCGACTCCAAAATACTTCAGAGCTTATCAGTTCAAAGGGTTGAATGCTACCCGAAAATCAATGGTAGGTAAAATTTGGTTTTTGGCGGTGTCGTTGTTCTACAACATGGCTCAGAGTAAAGACTTCCCCTGGAGAAAAAGCCGCTTTGTTCCATCTGGTGCAATTGTCTTTTACTTGTAAAGCGGCTGGTTACAAGCTATGTCCAATAATCTTACACTAAACTGGTTGGCGCAAATAGTTTTGCCACCTGTTGTGGAAATGTAGAACAGGAGTAAATCGGATGAAAACACTTAGTTGTTCCAGAATGAGCAAGACAGCTCATGCAGTGGTGCACGAAGAGCAATAGGGCACGTCTCGTATATTTCTGCAGAATGCCACCCTCACCAGGGGATTTGCGATTTTTCAGGAAGCTGATGCCTTCAATCACCTCCTGTTTGGTTGAACGGCCACGATCAGCATCATGCAATATAAGTGGTTCGATGGCAGGGACGTATGCTGACGTGTGCTCGAGACATTGCTCGAAGTGTTCCACCCATTGGGAGACTTTCCTGATGACATCGAGAATCACTTCGCCATACGCAGCGCACAGAGTGAACTGAACCTACCACAAACATCTGATGCGCCCGCGCCTGCACCTCCGGTAGCCAGTTAAATAATCTGAATAGAAACTGACAGCATAAATGCCACTGACATCGGCTAGCTAGCTCAGAGAGGATTGCCCGGCCCCCATCCTTTAGGACGAACAGCAATAAAAGCACCCAGACGTTTCGCAACATCCCCCATTCCATTCTGCCATCAAACTTTGCCAATCTCTATGTTCCCAGTGCTCCGAATTATATGTGGAAAACAACGCTCTGCTAGACAGACAGTAAATCGACAAGCATAGCACATAGCCCAGCCATCTCATCTCGCATTACTGAATACGCACGGTACAAAGAACCTGGACCTGAATGAGATGTGATGGTTTAGGTGCCTCCGTGGCCATTTGAACTACGCTGGTGTGTAATATGCACACTATGGAAACACCAGGGGACAGTGATTCTCTGAAGGCAGGTGTTCACGACAATTTCTGTGGATGGAAAACATAAATAAAGCTCATGAGCCAAAGCCCAGTAAGCAAGGTTGCACATCACCAATACTTACATATGAATCAATCAAAATAACAGACACCGTATACTACAAGTGTCGGTGCGACACTCGTAGTCTCACATACCAAGCCAGTGCATGGTAAGAGGATTCACCAACACAGTTGTTGTGTCTTGATGAACAGTAGTGCAACTCTGTATCGGTCCCTTGGCTTCCTGCTCCGCCCACTACGGTATATCAAAAGGCACGGTAGCTCTGGACAGCCCTTTATGGAGACAAAGGAAGATCATGGCAACTGCATTTATAGGGTATTCACAGAGTGTTCCACAAGGTCGTGCTAGAATGTCCATGAGGGGGCGAGAAGCGTCGAGTCAAAGATGCTTGACACGGATTCGCTGGCATTCTGACCAATCAGGGCATGCCTTCGTCTGGCCCGTGTCCTGCACGTGACACATCCGTCCAAATGGCGTGCTGTTCGGTTATTAGGGACGGCTGGCCTCTGAACAACAGTCCTTTGATCTTTCGGGCTTGGGATTTGCGGAAAATGTTGTTACTTGTTCTCCAAAATCATTAACGAGCTAGAATTTCCCGCAAAACCCAACTGCCTTGCGGTCAGGCTTTTGAGTCGAAGACTGGTTGAGGACCCTAACTGGCCTACTGCCAAGTTTGAGCGATCAGACAGTACCCCAACCCGCACACAACCACGACTTCTACAACTTAAAATAGTATCATGCCACAAGTGCGATCAGACGGGTCGCCTTGCTCGACACCTAGAATGCGGTCGGTAAAACGAAAACAGACTAATGTTAATGTGTCCCTTCTTTCTGTTTCACGCTTTCTTCCACATCCCTAAACCATTAATACTACTCTTCTCGCAAACACACTGTTAGGAATGACAACCCGACCCATCTAACATCAGCATTGGTCGCAACATCATCGGGCAACCCAAAGCTGATGGCCTCAATCTTTATGCCTAGAGGCCCGATTTATCTGCCTACTTTTAGTGTTCATTCCATGATATGACAGGCTCCCCTTGATCATACCCTGGACTCACTTGATAATGATGTGTACCGCGTATCAGAAACAAGAATTCAAGATCCAAGCACAGTCATTGAGTTGGTTGTTCCACCTCACTCCTCTCGCGTACGACTGCGGAATTCTGGCGTTCCAGAGGCTGCCGTGGCAGGCTCTACAGCTTTTACCATCGTTTCAAATCACCGTATCGGAAGGCCCTTACTTGAATGGACACCCACCGACATTTGTCTCTGTGCTGTTCGTCTGGCAATGTCCGTTGAAAAAATCCCGACTGTTACTTGTTCCCCATGTCTGCTTACGTCATCACCACTACCATCATCAATGGCAGTATAATAACGGTGTTCAATGATGAGTCAATCTGCTTGCTGCCCTGTTTGTTTTAGAGTAAGAATACTAAAAGCAACCAGATGGACGGGACTTTGAAGTCTTAAGGTTGACTTTGAAACGCCTGAGGCCGTAGGCGCCGGCTGACACAGCGAAGGCATACGGGGTACGAAAAGTGTCTTCAGTTAGGAGGATAGGCCTACAAGAAAATACTTATCATTGAGTGGGGAGCATAAAAAAGTGTATTAGAAAATGGAGAAGGGAAGCGACGATGGATATGGCATAAAATTATGCGTGTGCGCAATTCATGGTTGCACGTGAGCTTGGATAACGCCAGAGCGCCACACCTGGACAGGAGGACGATTAGGGTCCCCGATCATGCCTTTTAGCTTAAAGTCCTGACCGCAGGGCAGCAGTGTTTGTCGGGCAATGCAAGT